AATTTGAACTAAGAAAACCGCTGGCCAGAATGAATCATTCCCCTAACACATATTGATTGTCAAGGAGCGATGGATTGATGGTTGTACCAGCGCTAAAACTAACGGGAGATGTGGCCAACTTGTGGGTCTCCTGTTCTATATGGTGCGCTTAGAATTCAACTCAGAATTAAGGATGTGGTTATCCTTTCCATTTTGCGGCAGAGGACACTCACAAGAGTAAGTCATTGCTGTTTGTTCATGCTGAGATTTCCTTACTGGAACATTTTTTTCAAGTTCATTGTAAGTACCCGCAAGTTTGTATTGATCTGGAGATGGAGGCCATGATGAGAATATATGATCTTTTGAACCTCAGGGTTTATGGCTTGTTTTTTGTCCTGTGAGAATATTTAATCACAGCATGCACCTCTACATTATTAAACTCCACATCTGAACCAGAGGAGAAAGGTGAAGAATTTGCACTTTACACGTGACTGCCTCTCACTGCACACTCAGACCTGAGGACTAAAAATAGTCTTAAACCTCTCTTTTTTTGGCCATAAACTGTGCTTCCACTTATGGTTATGCAGAATCCATTAAGAGCTTCTCAGATTTGGAGATGGTTTGGTGGACCACATTAAAGCATCTTTAACTGTTACAAGAGTGTCTTAAATCAGTTATGAAGGCAGGGCAGAAGAGATCTACCTCAGACATTTTGGGAATATTTACTAACTGGAGCTCTTCTTCTCAAGCCAGAACATGAAATCCGCTGGAGTTTGTGGTTGTGGTTTTGTGTCGGACTCAATTGCTAAACAATTCATTATTACTCTCCTTGATAAAAAGCATTTGCTAATGTAGATTTGTATGGCTGTCAGTGGACCGAACTGCTTTGCGATATTTACATGTGTGTCAGAAATTGAGTTGGACATGGCCCAAACAAGTCAGGGTGAGGAGGAACTTGCAATTAATTGGTGTTTGTTTGGCACAACGTGAAGTGTGAAGAGTTGTTTATGGTTGCTGTAGTGCAGCATGGCTCAGTACTAGGGCTGCACGATTAATCGAATGCGATTGTCATGCGCATTTTGTTAGTAAAGCCGGTTCTGTAATCAGCAGGAAATCATCAGCACGTGCTTTCAGATGGAGCAGAATTTACTATACATAGCCGTAGTTCACTGACAAGTTACGCAAAAAAATCGCAGACGATTTTGTTGCGCGATTATGAAATCGTTCACGATAATGACAGCTGTTTGCATAGCTTCTCAGTGAACTACGGCTCTGTGAAGTCTCTGGCCTTTGGATGGAGATTTACTGCTGATCACAGAACCGTGCTTCCCTGAAAGATACGCATGACAATCGCAGCTTCTGTCGAATCGCGATCTCGATTCCATTTCGATTTATTGTGCAGCCCTACTTAGTACTGTACCATTCAGTTGATGTATGATCACAGTTGTGTATATATCAGCTATTTTAAAACGGCTTTGAATGGAGCTCATCCAATCCGAATTTACAGTCCAAATAAGGTCTGCATGATTAATAAAAGTGAAATTACGAAATACGGTACTGTGTGTTTGCAGTGTCTCAGAGCGGCTCTGTTTCAGTAAATGCTGCTCCACACAAACTCCATCTCTGCATATGCTCTCAGTTTGAGACGCTTTAACATGCATTTTGGAATGTAACATGTACCAAACAGCTTCCCATAATTGTAATGAGAAGCACCTATCAGCAAAAGAGAAGTTTTAAGGTCTCTCTGTGGTTTTCTGTCAAAATGTAAAGAAATTAAGAGAGCCATAGATGTTAGTATTGAAATTTTCCAGTTGTAATGTAATACAATTATTATTTCTCAAGTTGCTTTTTATTTTACAGTGAAATAATATAATAGTGCATTTTCTGTTGTTTTTACAGTATTCTTTTATTTAGTAGTAAATAATAATAATAATAGTTATTATTGTTATTATTTTATAGCCATATTGATGTAACACAATTTTGGCAGAATTGTGCAACCCTTACAAACGAGCAAGAAGGAGGCAGATCAAGTGAATGCAGTTATTATTATTATTATTTATTTATTTTTTTTTTTTTTCAAGATTAACATAATAATTTCATGACTATAACAATTTTTATGTTTTCATTAATTGAAGGCAGGATAGAAATCATGAGATTGACCATAAATATGTGAATGAATTAAAGAATTTTATTTTATAATAATTGTATTATTTTACAAACATGTCTTCACGAAATAATGCTTAGGCCTAATATTTTTCTGTTTATGCAGTATACAGACTCATTTATACTGAGCTCCTTTGCTTTAAAAAAATTGAAAACTGGTTCTCCTATTTGTTAACATTTTGTTAGCATTTTCAAAATGGATGAGTTCATTTGAATGTTTCACTCAGGTTCTCTTGCACTTGTTCTACAGAGCACATTTCAGGTGAGAAGGTGTCAGTTCTTTTTGAAATGCTGAACTGAAACGATGAGAATGAGAGTGGACTGCCATGCGATGCATGTTTCTTTCCTACCTGACCTAGAATAACATGATTTGTCAGGTCATAACATGGTAATCAGGATAGAATAACAAAAATGTGGCTCCAATTAGTAAAGCTAGAAATTAAAGATGTTCTTTAGTCATGAAATCCTTGTATACATCATCTGCCTCGGAAGGCCACAATGGGTTAAAGTAGAGAGATAATTGACTGGGACAGAACAGGCTGCATCTGATGTCTTTAAATTGTTTGCCATCATCCATAATTCATGCTTTCAAAGTAGGAGTCTTTGATTTGGTTCACTGGCTGTATTACGAGAACTATAGAGGGAAAAAAGTAATGACTTATTGGGTCAAATGAGACTTGGCTCAGCGGCAGCAGGAGGAGGAGAGGAATGAGGTAATGCCATCGTTTTTAACGGCAACCATGCTTGAGGTAAATATTTGCACTTAGCTCATGCCATGAGAGCACTTCTGCGGTATATCACATCCACATGTCTCAAGCACTCTAACTGTTTCTAGTTGAAGCTCAGTTGACTGTACCCCGAGGCCCCATAATGGGAAAGTCATGGTATGACTTCAGCCCTGATAACCTCGGTTTGGAGAGCTTGCTTGTGTGCACACACAATCAAAACACAAATTATATCCGCCAACAAGAGCACATTGTATCTTTGTACTGTGTTTTTGACCATCTGTGTTCTGCTTTTAAGGGGATTTTAAGGGGTACTATCATGCCAAATAATATTTTCCTTAATCCTTTGATATAAAAGTACGACTGTACTATGAAAATGTATTTAAACTCTCAGAACTCAAAACATTTAATTTTTAGAAGAGCATCTTATGAAACGAAAGACTGGAATGCACTACACAAAGAATCGCTTATTTATACCATGTTTACACTTTGTTGGTTATAATGAAATTATTTGTGAGGATGCAGAAGCTCATGTAGCTGATCAGAAATTTTTTTTTAAAACTGATCAAAAGTTTTGAGCAGATTCCGACGAACATAAAAACCTCTAGCTGGCCATTGTGTTCACATGATCAACATACATGTCTGTGATTGGCTACAAAGCAGAACACCTTAAAAACAACATTGCAAATATAAACCTCTGATGCGCTCTGATGTAGAACGACTGGTATTGTTATATTTTTTAAATTTAAGTATCCACTTGGTACCAAAATACCTAAACACCAGATGAACTAATGAAGTAAAACGTGTGAAAGTTTGCCAAACTTTGTGCTATTGCTGGTTGTGTGTAGCACCTACAGCTCTGCATATCCTTCTGATACATCCCAATAGTAGGAATGAGTGGATGAGGTTTATTTGAACAAGGTCCCTGTTCATTGTGGTCTGAGCATGAACAGATTTTGCAGAGAGGCTATTATTGAAGGATGGGCAGTTACAACTGTATTGCTCATATGCAACATATGAAGAGGGCATTCTTAAAGGTGCAGGAGCAAAAACTGACCATTTAATTACAAGGCTTAGATAAATGGTGAAAACACACTCAAAAATGTGTAAACCACTCATTTAGGGCAATGAATCGCCTGCGATTTTGAACGCGATTTTGTGTAACTTGTCAGTGAACTACGGCTCTGTGTAGTAAATGCCGCTCCATCTGAAAGCACGTGCTGGAGATTTACTACTAATCACCAGAAGCGGCTTTACTGACGAGATTCGCATGAAAATCGCATTCGATTTTTTTTGCCCAGCCCTACACTCATTTTAATAACATAAATTGACATAAGGGGACAAAAAATATGAATAATGAAAAAAAAAAAGTGTTGTGTGATCCCTTTAAGAAATTAATTATTGAACGCTGAATTCTGAGAGTGAGACTTTTCTCTGGATATGAAACCAAGTTAAACAAAGTTGAGGATATGAAACAAGTCAACATAAAAATACCTGATATTTACATAACAAGAAGTGAAATACTTGGCATCTAATTCATGAAAATCACTCTTCCAGAATTTTGGTTAAGGATTTCCTTGTTAAACCTCACCCAAGTTATGCAAAGCGTTTGTGTACACGGAACTTTTTCAGAATTGTTTAAATCTGGTTGGACTTAGAACCGTTTGCAAGTTATTCACGTTAGTTTTAGTTTAGAAAGGAACTTTATTTATGATGAAACAGAGAACTGCATTGTTCACCATGATGTTTTTACTTCCCTGTAATTACTGTGAACTCAGATGCTCATCTTCAGCATCACTTGGTACATATAAACCAGCCAGATGTTAATGTATAATGTTAAGAATATTAAAGAGGAGAACATGCTCATGTTCATGGTGTTTCAAAGCAACATTTTCCAATTTAACCCAGATGGTTGACTAACCTACTTACAGGTGAGCGGCTCTCTTGAGAACCGATTCCGCATGAGTAAAACTGTTTCAGACACCAAAGCCATAGACCACTTACAAAAAGATTTTCCACATGCTGTACTGCCAAACCAAGATCCATCTTGGTTATCTTGAATTCGTTTTTGGGACATTAACTTTGCAGAAATAGTAATCTGAACTGTAACACTTATATTGTTGTCATTTTCAGATCAAGATGGCTGACTCTAGCACTGGCAAGCCTATGGTGGTCACTTCCTCCGTCTCCCTCAAAGTTACCGCTCCTTCTTTCTACAATCAACCCAAAAGGTTTGCGTCTGTCGCTCCTCCACGCCCCAAAGGACAGATGGCCCCATCACAGCCCTCGTCATTTGTAAGCACTGGTGTAATTGGACGAGTTGGAGAGATGCCCCCGCCCCCTTCAACTCTTTGTGAGGGTAAGGCAATTTCCATAAAAGATGGAAGGGTGTAATTTTTAACTCTTTCCCCGCCAGCATTTTTGAAAAAAGTTGCCAGCCACCGCCAGCATTTTTGATGATTTTCACTAAAATTTCACGGCCCCCAGAATATATTGTTTTATGAATTATCTGAACATGCAATACATCAAAATAAAGAAAAAAAATCGGTTTTATTTTAGCTTCATGCATTCTTTTTTTATCAACATTTTATTTATTTTATTTTATTTAGTAAGTTTTATAAAAAAAAAAAGCCACATTTTGAGCAAAAAACAGAGAAAATCAAGTTTTTATCAAATACTACATCTGGATCATATTAAGTAGGATGATCGAAGCAAAGATGCAGTAGATCGCTTCCATCAGCACCCCCAAAGCTTGCAGTCCTTTACCACTTCCTGGATCGACATTTCACTCGGTAACATTAGGCAGTTTTCATTTATATGCTGTTTATTGTTGATGATCGCATTGTTTTTCATATGCATACATACGACATTGCTCATTTCTACGTCTTCCTCACATGTGTTTTTGATCGGCACATTCTAGACTCATTCAGGAGATGCGTAATAGCGCCCCCGAGTGTATAACAGCGAGAACGCGGAAACCCGGAAAATTCCGTGTTTGGCGGGGAAAGAGTTAATAAGACAATCCACAATAAAGAACCAAAAAAAGTATTTCAAAAATCTAGTTTAGAACACGTGCCAAATTCGTAGAAATGTTCCCTTTGTATAAATATTGTTTTATATGAGAAATGAGAAATCTATTTTGCGTTAAACAGCTTGTTTTTTAAAGTCGGTGCTTGAAATAAAGCTGCTCTTAATTTTCATTGATGACTGCAGTGTTAATCATTTTAATTATAGACCTATAATTTATTGTATAAATTAGTAGACCTGTTTTAAAAGACCTGTTTTAAATTAGGAGTAAGCTAATAGCCTAATCTTTTGTTATCCTCACAGCGCGTCAGTTATGCGGTATGAAATTATTGCCGGGCAGATTAATTGTAATTTAATAATAAAAGTAACCTAATAATAAAAATAGGCCTAATAATAAGAAGAATGTAACAGGCCTACATTAATTGGACATGCCAAATCCTCTTAATATTGCTTTTGACAATATCTCTAGCTATAGTCGACACATGACACATGATACGACGCAACCCAGCACAGGGAGGTTATCGCGGGGCCCCCCCCGCAGTGTGTGCCCGTCCACTACGCCACTGATTTTAGGTCAGTGTTTTAGCTGGCAGTCAATGATGCTCTCTGCCGGTAGGGAATAATAAGATGGAGGCTTGAACACTTCTGGTGGCTGACGGCAGTTTAGAACGCAATGAGCAATCCAGTCATTATAAAGATCCGTGATTGCACCTCATGATATTGATTTCAAATGTTAATAAGCTCTGAAGAAGTTGTGTTTAGGGCTGGGTATCGAGTTCAATACTTTTTAGGCATCGACCGTATTGCCATAATACCATTGAGAATCGAAAAATATCTTGTCGTTCGGTACCAAATTTCGATGCATATGGGGTTAATCTCATCAACGTCAGTGAGCCAATAAGCATGCAGCATGCTTGATGTGCCTAAATCAAGTGCTGATGATTGGCTTTGGAGAGGCATCAACTAAATACTGTAGCATCATGCTATATAAGACAATTTATACGATTTATACTATGCTTTTTCTCAAAACTCATTTAAAAAATTGAGTGTTTGTAATAACTTCCGATTGCGATCTAATGTGTGTTTTGGCCATATAATGTTGCTGAAATATGCTATTTGTAGCCTTTTATATCAAGCTAATCACTACAGCTGCTTAGCATTTCTCATGTAAACACCCTGTATTGTTATGAAAATAAGCAGAATCTCATGAAAATCACATACAAATCATATACTATTGTAATCATGTGTTTATTAGCATCATGTTTCATCCGTAGAAATGTTTTTCTGGATTTCTTATGTACAGAAGTGAATGTGGAAGTGTAATGACGAGGAAGTTTTCATCAGTAAATCAGTGGAAAATTAATAGAAACGATGATTCTGTCTAAGCTATGCGTTTTGAAACCAAGATGCACTAGTGTAAACGTAGCCTAAAAGATGTGAAAGCTCAAAACTATTTGAACTTTATTAAAGGGGTCCTATTATGCTTTTTCACTTTTTCAACTTTAGTTAGTCTGTAATGTTGCTGTTTGAGCATAAAAAAGATCTGCAAAGTTACAAAGTTCAAAGTCCACTTCAAAACGAGATATTTTATTTAACAGAAATCACTTTTCAAAAACTACAACGAACGACTCGTTTGGACTACAACGCATATTTTCCAAGATTTGTGATATCACAAATATCGACAAATGGGACGAGACCTGGTTGAGCTGCACCAGAGAAGGCAACGAGTGTTATCACTATGTCGGAGACAATATATCGTTTTGCCGATATGAGCCTGTCGCGATATATCGGTATCGGCGAATATGCCGCCGATAAGAAATTTTTTTTAG